CCGCAGTGCTGTGAAGCCCCGTTTTGGCAGGGATGTCTACTAGACTGGGATGACCCCCAGTGGTCCAGAGGGGGGGGACCGGGCTCCGGGAGATGATTCCAGCAGCTTACTGAGTAGTCCTGACGGGAGATCGTCTGCCTCTCCACTTGTCAAGGTACACCAGGTTGCAGTACAATTGGTCTACTCTCCAGGATCGTGTCCACAAAGGTGAGTTACAGTCGCTCTAATATAGCTCAGGTGCAGCTAGAGACAGTTAAATGTCTTGGTGAGTTGCATATCAGTCGAGTTTTTAGGCATAAAACTGCTATTAATTGCATAAAAGTCCAGAGCTCATGTAGACGCATCTACCCGGCATGGCAGTCAGGCCCCCCTCCCTAAATTTTTTTATGTACATAAATTATAAAAAAAAAAAACCAACAACAATCAAAGTGTAGATACACTGAAAACAGAGATGGGTGTGTTATTTAATGAAGACCAGGAAAAAGCAGAAATTTTCCTCAGTAACCAACCTTGCCACAAAGTATTGGAGAAGCCTGGTTGCTCGCCTGTTGCCTGTCGCCGCAGCTTCTGGGAGGTAAATTGCCAACACACTCCCAATACAGGTGGTCCAGTCATTCGGTTGTTTGTTCGGTAGATTGAAACTACCAAACGCTGGGCAGAAAGGCACGAACAAGCCTTTTCTGCAGGGGAAAAGAAGGCTTTTTAACATGGGGCCATAGTCCAAGGGCAACAGGCGAGCAACCAGGCTTCTCCAATGCTTCGTGGCAAGGTTGGTTTCGCCACAGTATCTATGTAGTAGGAACCTATGGCAGTAGACATGCAAATGATTGCAGAAAAAAAAAATTCTGAGAAAGTGTGATTGGATGACTCAAGACAAGGTGTTGCAGCAACTAAAGAAAGTTGATATAAACAAAGCTCTGGGGCCTGAAGATATTCACACACGAGTACTTAAGGAGCTAAGTGTGGGAATAAGTGAACCTACCTCTGTTTTTAATATTTTTGGATTCTTTTCTTTCAGGCATTGCATCATAGAAGTGGTGGAAGGTAGATGTGGTTCCTATATTCAAAAAGGGCTCAACATCTTTGCTTGGAAATTAGAACCCCAAATAGCTCACAGTACCTCTGCCCTATACAAACTTACTGAATACAGACAATGCTCCTTCATGCGTTGGTGGGATATAACACTGGGTCAAACTCTCCAGGTTGAGGCATGGCAGAAAATCATATACTTAGCACACCACTGTAGCTACCAAGCAGTGGGAAGCAAATTATAAACTCTTAACCTTTTTATACAGATTACTAATCTTTTAGACCAGATTACCTCTACTTGTTGGCAATGTGAAAAGCATCCAGGTGCATATCAGCATTTGTGCCCCTTGTTCAGCATGTTTTGTATATTGGTGCATGGTGTCATGCAGGAGGTCTATGGTAAAGGCCTCTCATTTACTTCATGAACCTTTTGTTTCTTCTGCCATGTAACATTTAAAATGTTCTTTTTTTTCCTTTTATACCTTACATTAGGTCTTTATAATTGTACAATTGCGCATATATCCTGGATAAAAAAAAACATCAGCTGGAAGGCGGAGCCTGAGCTTCAAGCTGATCAGACGTGCATCACTCGTGCTGCTGATACTCTGACCATTCTGGGGGTGCTCATCCCGGCCAGGTAAAGGACACTTATCGCCTGAATAAGCTCAGTGGTTCAAGGTTTCTCGAATGAGACCATATTTTGCTTCCCATCGGGAACCTGATTTATCGTGTGGCAGGCATGTTGCAGACAGAGCCAGGGTGAGGCGGTCGATCTCCTTGATACAGAAACGCTACCCTCCTACCCTCCCTTTAGACTGGCGGGGGATATCCTGGTCCACACTGAACTATCCTCGGTAGCATCAGCAGCACTTATCTTCTGCTCTGAGCTGTGGACACTGCTCATCTGTGCCACCTACCCATACTACCCAAGATGGTGGCCTGCTCCTCAGATGGGTGAGGCCTAAGCACATCACCAATGCCTCTGAACAATCGGCCAATGCCAAAAACAGGCAAGTGGCAGCCAACACAGGCTACTATGTCTAGCGCAACTGAACGCTTTCTACAGTAGCTAAGGGCACTATTTGACCAATTCCTGACAACCCTGGCAGGGCGTGTGCGGCTGAGATCCCACAAAACACCTCAACGGCTGATCATGGGTGCAAACAAAAGAGAAGGCCCCCAATGGGCATACCACCCACAAGCAGACCACCACACTCTCTCTCGTTGGCCGACCCGGGCTGAAGGACTCTAGGGACTCGGCACCAGTGCACTGCCAATGCCAGAAGAGGACTGACTGCCATAAGAAGCGAACAACCATCATGCCTATCCGCACCCGCATGTACGGGAGAGACTTGAACTCAGAAAGACCTCAAGTCTGTGGTTCGGAGGTGCTAGCCTACGGCTCTGGGCAGAGGAGATGCCCTGCTTCAGACACGTGCTGCCACTGCCTTTCCCGTACCTCCTGCAGGTATCTGTAGCCTCCCAGTGGCTGAAAGGGGACTAAAGCTGTTCACAGGCCTACCACCTGGAACCTACAGTCATAAGCTTTTATCGGCCACCACTCAATCATACTTCTTTTCTTTTACTTGTAGCATGTTGTCTTTTATTTTTCTTTTTTTTTATCCACTGTCCTAGTGCACTCTTGTTGTCTGAGGTCCAAATTCAGTGGTATACTCACTATTGTGTGCAATTTTTAGCTACTCACCAGATGCAGTTTTGTGTTTTGAACCATCTGATTTTATACTTTCTCATATGAAATAGTTAAAGCATGGTTTTAATTTTGAATTACAAAAAGTGCAGTTATATATAGTGATATTTTCAGCTACAACTGTGATGTTTCATACTGTATCTACTATTACTAAGATGTCTTTAAGCGTGTAAATCTCTTTATGTACACAAAAATTAAGAATTAGAAAAAAACAAAACACCAGCTAATTCATGAGGAAGAAATGTAGCTGTTGGTGAAATGGACATGTGTGGAACCATGTCAATGATTCTGAAGTTATTATATGTGCCCAACAATCATGCTTTACAATATATGACATTGTGAACAGTGGCGTACACCAAATCCATGGGGCAAAACTGATCCGTGGCCCCCCCAGACATGTACATACAGACACAGACATACATACAGACACACACACATACATACATACAGGCACATGCACACAGACAGACACACACAGACATACACCCTCTCCGACAGACACACACACATGCATACATACATACAGACAAATACAAACACACACAAACACACAGACAGACAAACACATACATACAGACAGACACACACATACACACACACCCCGACAGACATACATACAGACACATACTTACACACACACACAGACACATAAACACAGACACATACATACACACACACACACACACACAAACATACAGACACACACATACAGAGACACACACGTAAACAGACACACACATACAGACACACTCACATACATACAGACACACACATACATACAGGCTGTATGTATGAGTTTGTATATGTGTGTGTGTGTCTGTATGTATGTGTGTGTCTGTATGTATGTGTCTTTGTGTGCGTCTCTGTATGTGTGTGTGTCTCTGTATGTATGTGTCTGTATGTGTGTGTGTCTCTGTATGTATGAGTCTGTATGATACATACATACAGAGAAACACACATACAGACACATACATACAGAGACACACACATACAGACACACAGACACATACATACAAACATACACATATGCAAAATGTTTAAGTCACCCTCACATTTCCTACCTTTTGCAGGAGGGAGGTCTCTGAGGTCCAGTGGGTGCTCAGCCTGATGGGAGTCAGAGTTCCCACTCTGACTCCCTCCTCCTTCCTCCCGCGCGGGCTCTGTGTGATTGCTGGGAGGAGTGACCGGGGCAGTCACTTTCTCCCAGCTGTGATGTCATCCCAGGGGGCCCGGTTGCGCTGTTAAAGCACCCAGCACTGACCGGGCCCCCTGGAAATCTATACCCATCGAGTGGCCCTAATAGCATGGGCCACCCGATGCGCCCCTTCATTTGCGGCCCCGGCGGTTTGCTGCCTGGGCCGGGCCCGCAAAAGATGGTGGCGGGTACCTGGCCACAGGGGTCTGCAGGGCGGCCAGGCCCCCTGGAGTGACAGGCCCAGTCGCAGCTGCGACCCCTGCTACCGTGGTATGTACGCCGCTGATTGTGAATTAACTGTAATTACCCATCCTCTAAATACTACCATTAATATATAAAGATTTATATACCAAAAAAAAGCTTGAAAACTTTGTGCCCTCACAGAATTTGTAACAGAGACAAACAAATGTAATATAAAAACATGCAGTTTCCACCCTTTATCAATGTTTCAGCCCCTCATGGGCCTTTCTCAAAATCTTGAAAAAGGCCCAGGTGTTGCCAAAAAAATTGATGATGATAATTGCACCATTCTGGATTAAATTTATTTTTCACTGACTCAAGTCCAGTGACTGCACCTATTTTTCAAGTATTGTTTTGTTGTATATATTGTTGGTAAGCACCTTTGATTTCTTTTATAAAACGGGATGTTGGTATTAGTCCCTTTGCTGAGTAGGTAAACTCTATACTTTAGATTACAAATAAAAGCAATCATGATGATATGCCAGAAAAACAACTTTATAGATACACATTATACACATATTGTACACATACAACAGCTGTAAGCTATTTTGAGAGCTATCATCATGTTAAAATTTACCAGTTGTTGTGTGCTATACATAAGATACAGCACTTCATATCATGGTACAAAGAGGTCCATATTTGAGGCTTATACCTACAATTAAAGGTAAAAAAAAAAACAATGGGTCAGCGGGCACTAATCAGAGAAAAAAATAGGAATAAGAAACAAAAAAATTAAGGAAAAATAAGGAAAAGGGCTGCACACCTGAGCATAAGGGGCTCCCTCAAAAAAACGCTAAAAATTCCTAATGATAAAAGCCAAGGAAAAAAGAGGTCGTGCCAATAAGTATAGTATAAAGAATATTAACCACAAATAAAAATCAACATATTATTAACCCCTTAAGGACTGAGCCAAATGTAGACGTGATCAAAACAAAACGTAAACTAAACTTGGAATTTGACTAAATGTCTGTTCAACCGTAATTCACCTCTTTCATATTAAGTACACCCATACTTATTATATATCATTTTATTCAGGGGAAACAGGGCATTTAACATCAAATATTTAGCTATGAAACATAATTTAATATGAATAAAATATTTTAAAAATGGGAGAAAATAAGAAATTTTGTTATTTTTTTGTTCTACATGACATTTTAACTGTGAATCTCATAATATTGTTTGCATTTACTGCAAAAAAAATATTTGTATTCAGCAAAGTCTTATGTGTAAAACAGTACCCCCTATGTACAGGTTTTATGGTGTTTTGGGAAGTTACAAGGTCAAATATAGCATGTTACAGTTTTCAGTTTTTTCACATTGAAATTCGCCAGATTGGTTATGTTGCCTTCGAGACTGTATGGTAGCCCAGGAATGAGAATTACCCCCATGATGGCATACCATTTGCAATAGTAGACAACCCAAGGTATTGCAAATGTGGTATATGCATGCTTTTTTAGTAGCCTCTTGCATGAGTGCAATGGGCTCCCCAGTCCCATAGACTCCATGATGAAACCGGGTTCGCTGCGAATATGGCTCTGTCGTTGCAGGGTTCCACGTGAAGGAGCCACCAACGAAGATCCGTCCGTACCTCTGCAGAGACTGGCACCCAATGGTTGTATTTGTGTCCGGATATCAGGTAGTGGGCTTTCAGCTGTTGCACGGCCCGATAATGAAGTGGACCCGGAAAAATTGCTTGGATGGAGGATGAGAGCAGTCTGACTACCCTTGCTGATATAGCCCTGATCGTCTGGAGCGAACTTCACGGCTCCCTTGGCGAACAGGGTTCGAATCTCCTTGTCTATGAGCGATATGTGGACTTTCGCTGCCCGCAGTGGGAGTGGTCGGATGACCTGAACTGAAGTACTGGTGAATTCTATCATGTACCCCTTTATCGTTTGGAGGACCCAGGCGTCGGTGGAGATGGCTTCCCAGTTCTGTGGAATGAGAGACAGTCTGCCTGCGTTTATACCTGACTGACAAAGTAGTGGGAGAGTCATGCTCACCTGAATTGAAGCGTCCACGACCTCTGCCTCTAGCACCCCTTGTGCGGAAGGATCCCCTTTTGAAGGCGGCTCTTGAGGATGGGAAGAAGGGTTGAGGTGTGGCCTGATGCCGACCAGCCCTGCCAAAAACCCACCAGCTCGGTATAGGGTTGTGGAAGACTTAACTGATGGAAACCTGCGCCTTGTTCAGGGTGGTAAATAGGCCCACATGCTTCTTAAGCTCCGTGATAAATGACTCTCCAAAAAATAGCCCTTCTGCCAGAGGGCCTAGTTCTTTCTTCCCCAACTCCAATAGTTTGGTATCCATTTTAATAGGGCCGCTTTGCCCTGTTCCGTGCACATGGCTGCATTCGTGTTTCCCAGCATGCATATGGCCCTTTGCACCTATTCCCTCACATCATGAGCCTCTAGAGGTGTGCCACAAAATATAGTATTTTTGCCAGGGGACCGATCACGTCCAGCAGTTTATCTTGAACCGCTTTAAGCCCTTTTTCTACACCCTTCCGTGGGTCTCGCCCTGACCGGGACTTAAATATAACCACCGTGGTATCGAACTCCAGGGTGAGGGCAATCTTGTCCGGTAGTAGGGGCGTGGGCATTCGGCCCTGAGCTTGGCCCAAACTTCCTTATCCATAGGCTTCCTCAGCCAGAAGTTTATAAATTGTGCCAGGTGATCTGGCAAACCCCATTCGGAGGACCTGGGATGCCATATGGTGCGTGGGTCGAACATGGGACTGCCCGGCACGTTCTCTGCCCTGATTGTAGACCATGTCCTCTTGAGGAAAATCCTGCCATTCTTCCTCTTCTGAGAGAGACTCCTCTGCTCTCCATTCATCCATGATCTCCAGAGACGTGGGAGGGATGGAGTCCTCGTCTCCTGATGATGGAGCCTGAGACGGAGAATGGTCTAGACGCTCCGACTGACGGCTTCGCTTAAGAGGGGTCTTCCTTTTCCCCTTCGGGGGGGCCGTGATGGAGCCCTTCCAATGTTGTTTTGATGACGAGGTGTCCGACCTAATGTTGTCGGTGTCTCTAGTTTCCATTGGTGCTGAGGCTACCACACCTGCCATGTCAGGTGGGTTGTTTGCCAACATCTTGGCAAGGGCTTTTTCCACCGAGGCCACCACAGTAGCATTAATCATTGACTGAAAGTCAGCAGAAGGTGATTGAGGGGAGTCGGACATGCTGGAGTTAACTCTTTCGGTCTGTGGGAGACAGAACAGTTGTCAGGTACAGTTGTACACGTCTTGCTACACAGTGGGCCTCCACGTACAACTGGGGGTCACAGAGAATTGTCAGTCAATCAGTACCACTTAGAATATTCCCAGGACTGGTCTGAGGAGGGAGTCACCCTCAACAAGACCGAGATGAGCAGTCAATAAATGCCGGGACGCAGCCCGTGTATGGAAGGCGGGGCGGCCTCAATATATATATAACAAGGGGGTCACCCTTATATGGTATAGTACTGTGGAGTTTCGGCAACACTGTGAGCTCTCCTTCCTAATCCTGGTAAGGAAGTGTACGGATCACCCCAGTTGTAGCATGGAGGTGCTGTATTACATGAATCTAGTGCAACCTGGTCTGTGCATACAGTGATAGAGTGTACTCTCAAGATGGTCGACATTCGCTCGCAAATATGCCGTGCGGTCCTCGATCGCAGCCTGCCTGTATGGCAAAGCACCACCCCGCTCCACTCACCCCCAGTACCTTTGCCCTGAAGCCCCAGAACCCATCGGGAGAAAAAAATGCGATTGCGGTAAAACACAGTGATCCGCGCAAGGATAGTGACCGGGATGGAACCCAGGGACAGCAAAAAAATTACAGATAAATCAATATTAAATCTTCATAAAGGGTAAAACAGGGAAAAGGGGACAGGGGATAAATATCAAAATACAAATGTTAAAATTAAAGTGCAAAACACTATTACAATAAATGGACATTTTGTAGCAAATTACTCTGACCTGTGCCTTGGCTGGAGCAACTAAGAAAGAGGAAGTCATGTGTCTGTCAGGGCTTTTTTATATATGGATGTGATACCTGTTACTGATTGGTTTACAGTTTATTGATTGACTTGTGCTGCTGGAGGCATAAGTAAAGAAAGTCATGCAAAATAGGAAGCCTCCTGTTTACATTTTTAAACCCACCCTCCAGTTTCCTACCTGGGGTCCAGTGTGTAGCCTGAGGCTGATGGGAGTTAGGAGTCCTCCTCCTCATTGCCTCCTTCTCCTCCTCCCTTCTGCGTGGCTCCTTCTGCCCCCTCCTGCACAACTCCTCTCTATAGGAGGAAGTGACTTGCGGCTGTCACTTCCTCCCAGATGGCTGCCGAAAAGCAAGGGGCCAGTCGCAAGTGACCAGCCCCTTGCTAAAAATAAGCTCACTGGGTAGCCCTAAGTGCATTGACCCCCCGGTGGGCCTACTTACTGTGTGGGCCCCCGGCTGGCGGCAATAGGGGGGGGGGAATTCTTGAGGGCTGCCCCTTTTGCCCCGTTAAAGATGGCCCTGCCGGGGAGGGAAAGTGGCTAATTGGGCCCAATTTGGACATTTCCGCTTAGGGGTGTACTCACTT